AACAAGTTATTGGCTGCGTAGCATACAATAACGGTATTATCCGGTGGTTTACGACGATTGTGCTTGCCAAACGACTCAAGTTTTTGGTAGTGATTATGTAAGCTGCCAAATAATGAAGTTATTTGGCAGATGACATAATCACTGCCAAATAACTCGAGTTATTTGGCAAGCACTATCATAGTAAGTTGCCGGATAATCTAATGTATGTTACAAGTCTTTGAAAAAATTTTTCTTAAAAAATTTAGTTGGCATTCCCACACACAAATGTTACAAGTCTTTGAAGAAAATCATCACGTGGGGCACGGCATAGCACCCTAAATCATCACATGAGAATAATTAGTAAAACATCACATATAATTAGTAATTTCTATGTGCGATGATTTGAAATCACACCCCCATGCCCCAACCCTACTTTGAAGCGTATGATCTTGTTTGTATTGTCTGGTGAAGATTTTTTCTTAAAAAATTAGTTGGCGCATTCCCACATGCATAATTTAGTTGGCATTCCCATACATGTTACAAGCCTTTGATTCTTGTTGGTATAATCAGCTGATCTATGATGTAGTTGGCATTCCCACACACAAACAATTCTGCATTTATGTATGATTCTTGTTTGTATAATCAACTGATCTATGCGATGTAATTGGTGCCCACACACAAACAACTCCGTATGCATAATCTAATGTATGTTACAAATCTTTGAAGATTTTTTTCTTAAAAAATTTAGCTGGCATTTCCACACACAAACAATTCTGCAAGTCTCAGACAACTCCGTGATAAGTTGGTAGTTGGTATTATGTTACAATTCTTTGAGTCGTATCGTATGATTTTTGTTTGTTGATTTTTTTCTAAAAAAATTTAGTTGAAATTCTCACATTCCCACACACAAACAAGTATACATAATCTAGCGACGTTGTATGTTACAAGTCTTTGAAGATTTTTCTTAAAAATTTAGTTGGCATTCCCACACACGCAGCAAGCAACTCCACGTGCATGCATTTGTTACAGGTCTTCGAATCATATGATTCTAAACATCTTTGATTCTAATCTATACGATTCAATAACACTTGTAACTAGAGATGCAATTTAAACATTGAACCGTAATGCGGGCAAAAAACTGTTACGATTCAAAGACTTTTACAATCATGTTTAGAATGTCATCTAAACTATTTTAATGAAAAATCCACAACAATTACATTTTTAGAGTAAAAATTTTATTAATATAGGTGAATTTTTGCTTATTAAATTTATTAATTTCAAAATTATAGGGCTTAATTGTCAAATTTTTTGTTATCATAATAATTACATACTTTGATATTATAATTATCTTATAAAGGTAATAAAAACTTAAAAAGACTAAGCTAAAACATAATTATACATACTTGGTAATTAATATAATTATAAGATAATTACTAATTACCTTATAATTATTATAACAAAAACTACCTTAAATTTTATATGGGTAATTGATCAATCAAATTACATTTCTTTTTAAATCTATCTTCATAATAGTTTTATATTCATTTATGATAGATGTAATATTCTTGTCGGTAATAATTGACATCGGAAATTTTGCTCGTTCAAAGAAATCGTATTTTGAATTTTCCAATTCTCTTGTTGCAGCAAGCAAATTTTTTGCAAATCTCTTATTACGACTTTTCTTTCTTACATTTTTGTAGTAGGAATATGGATTTGTGTCAATTTCCCTAGAAAGCTTTGTATTGGGTGTACTTTTACTGTGAATTAGTGTTTTTGTATATTCACTAATAATTTTATTGTCATCTGCACTAGGATCTTGGAATATTAAACTATCAATAAGATGTAATTCCGACCGAATAGGTTCAAAATACATGGAATACTCCAAATATTCTGAAAGATTTTTTCGATATTTTCCCCATAATTCAGGTTCAGGTGAATTCGGTAAGGAAGGTTTAGTTTTTTCATAATATGATGGATTTCGAATCCGTTCAATAAATTTTTGTTTCCAATCATCTTTTGATAAAGAAGGTTTTATTTCGTCGGATTCGGGGTCACTCATTATAAGCAAGATTATTGTAAAAACGGTAAAAACGTATTTTAACATCTTAAATATTATTCAATCTGCATGTGGGCGAAACCTCTTAATAATTTCGGAAAAGATCTGAAGAATTTTGAATGGTGAGTAACCCAAATTAAGAATTTTTGCATATTTATGTGGCACAAGTCACATGACCCAAATTTCTAGTTTGTCCAGATTTACAAACCTTTTTGTGTCAGGTGATAATATCACATGGTTTCGTCTAACAACTATAGATGTGGCCCGTTTGAAATATTGATAAGAATTTAACGTTAATAAAATACAGAATTTAATATTATTGTTCAAATAAATTAAAAGCCTAAAATTCTATTCGCAAAAAAAAACATAATGTCGCAATGTAAACAAATTAAGTCAAATAAATCGAAACTATACCTTTTAATACGGCACTAACCCGTCATAATCTTTATGTCCGAACCCGCGACCTCTAGCCATTATTTTAGCAAAAAAATCTTTTGTAATTTACATTGCAACAATTTCAGGCATATAGAAGAGTTCAGGTTGATTGTCAAAAGTTCCATGAACAATTGGCTCGTAAGGCTCAGTATACAAATATGAAAGATTCGACCATCTGATCCTATAAAAAATTGATAAAATCAGTTCGAACTTCTATGCGTCAATTTGAGAAAATAAAAAATACTTAACGGCAAAATCATAATTACGATAAAGGCCTCAATTATAAATATAAAAAACAGAATAATATTGCAAATACGAAATTTCTTGTGCGTTTTTTTTACATCTTGAAAATGTGAAACCGATTTATAATTTTCTTCTCGAAGAATTTCTTCCATATTCATTTTGAGATTTCTAATTTTTAATTCTTAAAAATTTTTAGTTATTATAAACTTTTGTAGTTCAAATGACTCTCAAAAATTATTTACTTTATATATATTCAATTCACGTAACAAATCAGCGCACTTTATGTTATATAATTTATATAATATAAATTATATAAATTAACTTTATCATAGAATACTGTATATAAACCTCGGAGTTTCATTTGATGCTTGTAAAATAGGTAATGCGAAGATTATCGAACAAAGCCTTTTGCAATAGCGTGAAGAATTTCCTTTGTTTATTCTTAGTAGTAGATTAATTTCCGTTTATGTTACAACTTTTTTGGAATCTTATTGCGTAGTATTTATAGTTTTCACATATTTGTATGCTGAAAAAAATTTAATTAAAAAATACGCGCGTATTAATTGCGTAACATAGGTTTAAATTATGAAGCAGTAGAAAAGATAGAGAATTATGAAGTTAAAAAATACACCATTGATGAAGAGAATTA